TAAACTATGCTTCGACGTCAAATTATAAACTATGCTTCGATGTCAAATTATAAACTATGCTTCGATGTCAAATTATAAACTATGCTTCGATGTCAAATTATAAACTATGCTTCGATGTCAAATTATAAACTATGCTTCGATGTCAAATTATAAACTATGCTTCGATGTCAAATTATAAACTATGCTTCGATGTCAAAGTTTATTGACATACATAATAAATAAAGTTGTTTCATTAAATTCTGAATGAAACTCCACGAAAGGTCATGACATGCATACTTTGACTCTGCTGTAAGAAAAGAGTTAACGTAGCTTCTCAACTATCCAGCTTTGTGAATTTAGAATATCTTCAAGTAACAAATGATTTCAAAACAATTAAGAGAAGTTTGACAAACCAAATTATTTTGGAAAAACCACAATAAATAGTTTTCATGGTCGAAACTTTTTTTTTTACGTTATACAATTTTTACAGGTTAACCAATAACCAAATGAAATTATTTACAGGGTAGCAGTGAGGAATATTTAGAAGTAAATATGAAAATTAAAACGTAAATGTATTAAAAATTAAACCTTTAATCTCACCTGAGTCTTTATGTATTTTTCCCCATGCTGTGGACTAAAAATATGATCTTGCAAGCTTTTGGTATCTTCAAAAACCATGTCACACAAGCTGCAGAAACTCTCAGATTTTTGGTTGTGTTTCTGGGCATGACACTGAAATGCTGTTGCATTGGAGAAGGTATGTTTACAGTCACTAATTATACACTGAAATCTTTTCTCCAGGCTATGAACATTGTACATGTGCATGTAATAGAGAGGATAACTTTGGATTACGGTGTCACACAAATGACAGTAATGGCCAACTTTGGATGGGAAACCAAGTTCAGCTAATTGTTTGTCAGATGGTACATCATTCATCACAATTAAATTGGTTCTTAACGTATCCTGTGTGAAGCTTTCTTCAGTAGCCTCGAGAGACGTTGTTTCTTCAAGTCCATTTTGTTGTGTTTTAAGAACATCGGTAGAATTTTCACTTATTACTTGACTGTCACATTTATCAAAGTTACACTCAACATCCTCAGCTGTATCTACTGCTAATTTTTCATCTATTTTATTAACAGTAGTTTCGGAATCTCCAAGCAATGAGGTTTCATCTCCTCCGTGATTATCTTCACCCTCCACTTCCGAACTTACTGGAGTACCGGATTCTTTGTCAGTAGGAACTTTCTCTTCGGGGTTGGCTGTCAATTGTGGTGAAGATTTAGAAGAGTTTGTGTTTTTCTCAGTAAAATCATTTGGAACTAAAAATATGAGTAATAAAACAACTATATATTGTGTATGTTTTGTACTTAATACAATCACAAGATAAATCTTTCTAAATCAAAACAACATTATAAACCATACCACACAAGTTTTCTATATCAAACAAATTGATGAAAGAGCCACAGGGATAATAGGATCCACCTGACACTTCCAATAAGTAAAGCTCCCTCTGCTGGAGCCCAAGTCACACTTTCTAACTTACTTTGTTGTTTAATGCAATAAGTAATGTATCTAACTGAATTGAGATGTTTATTATTGAAAATGTGTTTGAAGAAAACTTTTATGGTGGTTGGAGTGATTACTATAAACAAAAAACTACAACAGAAATCCTTGTTACTTGATAGATTCAAAACACAATAAATCAGTAGTTATTAAAAGAAATATGGTTACTTAGCTTGATCTTGAATCAAAATTAAAAGAGCAACATTTGACTGAGTATAGCAAGTCATAAGAAAACAGTTTCCTGCTGGAACTTGTGGTAACATTTTAGTACTTGGTAATAAATAAGATTAAAAACTGAAATATGAGGCTACATTCGAGGGAAACATATTTTAACTTTGTTACGAAAGAGAAACAGAAAATGTTTCTCCTTCAAAAATAAAATAATCAAGACACTATGTTCATAATTTAGAGATGAAATTGGAGGCTGATTAAAATTTTAATGTAAGAAAGTACATCGGCTACCGACATTAGTTTGTTGGAATAGTCTAGAATAGAATTTTAGAAAAAATCAAAACTTTTGTCAGATATGTTTAAATAATATTAATATTCTTTATAAGAGTTAATAATTGAATGGCACCTAACATGTATGTGTGCTAAATAATTAGGTCATGAGACCCCTAGGTTTGGGTATAGCCCTCAATAATTTCGAACATCTGACAAAATAGGTCATTCTGTCACCATCCAATAACTCTCTCAACACAGGTTTGGTCAATTTGACCGCCCTCGTAACCTTAGTACTCGTTTAGAGTTTTTATAGATTTGATATTTCTAACTTTCAGTATGGTGTGTATATATCTTCACAAAATTTGTCAGTCTTTAAGTAAGTACTATAAGTTTTTCACATACAAAAAATATTTTTAGTGAAGTATTCTTAATAAACTAAAAAAAGATTTGTCCTAGAATATATCAAGCATTTGTTTTGAATAGTCCATGTACAAAGTGATTTTCACGTTAAGATTAAAAACTTTTCTTCATCTATTTGATAGCTCTATCACAAAAGAAAATTGATGGCTATAAAAATTATGATTTGTCTGAGCAATGACAATTTTATAGCGAATAAGTTACATTTAATTTTGGTAGTTACTGGAGGAGTGGTGAATAAAATAGAGCAGAGAAGATACCTAGAGAAAATGTGTCATATGTAAAACTATGGGAAATTTATGATTTTTTAAAATATTGCCTTATAGAATTAAAACTTAAAACTTGTATACTATTAAAATATGGATTATTAACTAAGAACTTATGCTATACTAATTGGTATAACATAAACAAAAAGTAGTTTAATAAAATTTTGAATGTAAGACACTAAAACCTTGTGTAATGAACAGTAAAGGATACCCATGGTGATAGGGATAATGAGATTGACTGACAGATAAAACTATAAAGCATGTTTTGTGACATCATATTTCAAACCTTTCATTAATTGACCTGCAGAGTGAGGACTTGGGTGATGATTCAAGGAGGCAAAATTCTAGGTTTTCTAGACCTTCACATGTGACACATACATTTCCACACTTCCTCAAATATCTATTGAATTAGTGCCATTCAACTTGTATTTAACCAGTAATAAAGGATAGTAAAAACTTCAGGAAATATTTACTTCGGACTATATTATCACAGAAAAAGGGCATTATAACTTGATAGCAGATGATAAACTGTTGCATTTTTATCTATAAAAGAATATTTCATCTATGATCAAATGTAATGAATTAGATAATTATTACCAGATAAAACACGATGACTAACAAAGATTATGATAAAATATACTAATAAGAAAGGGAAGGGCTCAAGTTCCCAGTCTTTTCCAATTTTTGGGAAAATTGAACTCAGGCTGTTATATAGATTGACTCAGTCTTTCTCAGACTGCAAACATTTATAGATTATTGTATTAAAAAACTTAATGCTATCTTCTTTTGTATTGTTCAGAAAATTGTTTTATGTTCATTCAAAAAATGTTTGTATTAGAATTCTCTCTTTCTTTTTTGTTAACTGTCCAATTTCAGTGACTGAATTTAAGTACTTTTTGTAGTTGTTGAACTTAGATTAAAAATGTTTTTAACTAAATTAAGATATGAAATGCAAGCTATGAAAAAACTGGAGAGATTTGTTAAAACCTCTAATTTGATACAGTTGTGGTAGTTCTCTATTCAAATCCCATAAGCAGATCAATGTTATTAACATTTTGAATAAGCTTACTACAATCTGTGGAGAAAGCAGAAGTGCAAAATTTCCTTAATTTAAAACTGACTTCAATTAGAAATGATCAAACTGTCACAAATACTTAATCCACTAGTTATTGCAAAGTTTTCATCACATTTTAACGTGCTTGGCGAGCTCTCGGGTTTTCTACAAGTGTGTTCTTTTCCGATCTATATACCAGCCCGAATAATACTGAGTCAATCTATATACCAGCCCAAGTAAGACTGAGTCAATCTATATACCAGCCCAAGTAAGACTGAGTCAATCTATATAACAGCCCGAGTCGATCTATATACCAGCCCGAATAATAGTGAGTCAATCTATATACCAGCCCAAGTAAGACTGAGTCAATCTATATACCAGTCC